CAATACGCACCTTTCGTACCAGAAAAGCACCCTCTGTTCCTGGCAGCTCTGCAATGTTCCAGAAGCAATAGGAAAGAAGTGGGGACATCTTTGTACCAGAGGTCACCAATGAGTGACACAAAGGGCAGCCAGTTGTGTACGAGGAGCCGGTGCACACTCAATTCTCATGCTATATATTCTGTTTAGCCCGCGTTTGACTTTCTTACAGCTCAGATCAATACAATACACTATGTAGGTGTAATGGAGTTTTTTTTTCCCCTTTTCATCTATTTATTGCCCCAACAGTTAAAAAAAAAAATCAAGTATACATAAACCCAAATCACTAAAATCTCACAAGGTTGATAATGTAATTATTAAAAAAAAGTCATGTTTATATCTTTTGCAGCTTTTATTAAAAGAATACCTTATGATCCTGTCACAAAAGTCTTTTTTCAGGTATTTCCTGTTGCCCCCCTTTGTACATTGCTCTTCCGTTGGGAGACTATAAAGACTTGTTTACACTAGCTGCGCAGTACACGCAGCATTTAAGGCTACAGTCACACGCTGCGGCCGGAGATTCCTGTGTCAAGAACCTTGGGACTCTTGCGGCAGGAATCCCGGGTGAATGTGCACAGCAGCGGCTGTTGAGCCCATTCTCATGAATGAGCGGGGACAGCAGCTGCACCTGTTTTTGGCTGTCTGCAAGTAAATGGACCAGCTCAGGATAGAGGGTTGTCCCTGGACGCAGCCTAAAGCCACGTGTGAATGGGGCCTTACCATGAGACCAGTGTCCGCTAGGTGGAAGCTGTGCATTGCTACAACACAAGGCACTTTAGAACTTTATCGGCAGTGTATAAAGTGCACACTCCATGCAAGGTCTGTGCACGGCAGCAAGATGCGTTGCTGTGACCTGCGGCACTATCAAGTGCGCTGCAGAAAAATGTAGCATGTCTGCGCCTCATCAGTGTGGTGGCGTAAACAGGGCACATGGAAAACAATGCATTTCTATGTGTCCTAGCAGTGACCTGCGTTGATCCGGTGCAGAAAATGTGTGAACAGGCCCTAAGCGGCCACTTTGACTCCCATTACACAGACATGGTCCATTGACTTCAGAATCAGGGAACTTGCCCTGAGAAATACCAGGAGCTATGGCCGGAGTGCTATAGACAGGAAGTTTGAGCTTGCATCTACTTGTATTAGGTAATGTATGCACACTGCCCCCTAACACAGCGATTACCTTTACTGCCTATACGCAGGACCATGCACCATCTCCAGTGATGTGAAGAAAGACCGGTCCCCACAAACACAATGAAGACTGAATAAATGTGCCGAGACACGACAGGTTTACCTTTTCGTACTGGTTGGGCCACTCGCTGTTGTGTATATTTCTTAAATTCCCCCGATCTTCAATTTTGTAATGTCTGATTTTCTGATCTTCTAACCAAACGATAAAGTTTCGGAACTCTGTATCGTCTGCGAGAAGGGAATATAATAAATAAACAGGACGCATTAGTCAGGGCAGGAACGTCAACAAAGGTTCCTTCTCGCCAAGGACGAGTCTTGTGCGAGTGGCTTAAATAGTCCAATATAAACATAAAAGCACAAAGTATATAAATAACACCAAAAATGTATACAAGTTATTTACCGGATTCAGCCGGGGAGACGCAAGTACACAATGCCACCTTGTGGAAGTTTGCGGAGCGATCAGTAATAGGTTACAGAGGCAATGTCAGTCAATATACAAAGCGGGTATCGAAAAGGGGGAACTGCATGCATTCTTAAACGCACGCCAAGAGCTCCCCAATGCCGGGTGACAGACATTATTAAGCCAGGTGACGGGCACACAAGCGGTAAGCAAAGCTTGTGGCACAGAGTCCGTGGCTGTTATCCCCTTAGGAAGCCCGCGGCCTGGAAAACAATGGAACTGTAAAGTGCATCGCCAGCCAAAAATGGGGAGGGGGCCAAAGCTGTCAGCGACTCCTGTGTTTGACAGCTAGCGGCTGATACTTTGTGAAGCTGCTAGCTGTCAAAGGAAAGACAGATTACAATGGGCATCATGCTGGGGAATGTTACTCTCTAGATTGCAGGCACAAGCGGTTAAATGAAACCTACGCTGGTTGACCTCTCCGCCTGGAAATTACAGTTACATAGATTCTGACGTGGAAGAAGTGAGCAGATCTGGAGTTCTGACAGGGACATCAGTTGCTCCGGCTTGTCGGATCACTGATTTAAACTTATTGATTTCAGAGAGAAGAACCTGAATACTACGCACTGTGTGGGTTTTCCTTAAAGGGAAACTAATGATAGGAACATCTGCGCTGTCATTGCTAACTTGGTTTTGAAGATACTCCGGGGCGGCCATTCCGTCACAACCTGGTGAGTCACCGACCTACCGACACCTGATGTGACATCTCCATATTATGCACCATCATAAACCAGACCGCACTGGCAGCTCTTATATTCCTATTGTGGTTCCCTTCTACTGATGGAGGCTTCTACTATATGGATGGAATATGGCCGAAAATCCCCCACATGACCCTCATCAGATCCAACCTGTCTCAGCGTACACAGAGCCCACACCAAGGAGACGACATTCTTTTATCATCAGTGACCATGTCCCCTCCACACAATGTTCCCTCAGCCGGGTCCACATCACTAAATGCCAAGTGGCTGCACCTCAGTATCCAGTGTCTGTACCAGCTCTCCACCCACCATCCAAACTACATTCTCTGGCAGCCAGTACACCACCCCATGTGCACTGGTGTCACTCCTCTCCCATGCCACTTCCTCCGGGTACCCCCTTCCATGCCACTTCCTCCGGGTACCCCCTTCCATGCCACTTCCTCCGGTTACACATTGTACACACTACACTCTCTGCCAGCTCTCCCCTCAGTGAGCACCTAACACCACTGACTGTGCCTAACCTCCTTCCCCACCTCTCACACCAGCATTTACAGCCGGTCCGAACATTTTCTGGATGCCGTCTATGCCCTCATAGTCTTCAATGTGCCAAATACCAAGAGATCTTCAGTATATGACCAAATTAGGGGCAGCAAAGGGGGGGGGGGGGGGGGGACGGTAAAAAAAAAACAGGCGGCTGAACTACATTTCTACCATAATCTCCCCTTGGAGGGGTGACACCAAAATGACTCAGTCATTTTGGCGTCACCCCCCTTTGAAAAGTCTGTACAGCTAGTGGTGAAAATGCTCCCGATTTTGGTGACCTGTGCATCACGAAAACTGCTGCGTCCATAAAAACCCTCCTCCCCTCCCCCACTGGCATCATTGGGCATGCACGACTTGTAAATACAACACCTGCCCTCCCAGGCTGTCATTGTGCAGTGGGCTCCTCTTAAGAGGAGTTTTCTTTTCCACTGCTCTTCCCAAACACACACAGCTGGGCCAGCACAGCTCAGAAGGGGGTTAAAACAGAGGACCTCCTACCTCCCAAACACAGAAGGCAGCTGGGTTTGGAGTTCAGATACCATGCGTTGCACCACAGGGGGCGAGTATAGTTTTTATGACAGGTGAGCTTTAGGATAACAGGCTCCACCCCTTCATGCCTGGACAATCTGATTTATATCATTTCTAATGCCGCTATGAAGGATAATAGAAGTGAAAGGGAAGCAAGGTTCTCCTGGCCGCCATGCGTCCTAATGCCCATGTACCCTGACCCTCCATGTGGCAGCGCAGAGGATTCTGGGTACCCCCCGACAGGCCCAGGCCTTCCTCGCAGCTCACCTTTACAGTTGAAGCCGGTGGGGTTGTGGTAGTCCAGAGACTGCAGCTTCCTGCGGAACATGGTGCCCGGCTACCTGCGGTTCTCCAGCTGGAAGACAGCGCTCCACAGGCCGTCGGTGCGCAGCCGCCCAGACAGGCCAATCATAGAGCGCCGCTACCGGCTCCACCAATCACTGGCGTAGGCGTACCTCCGTTTAACCAATGAGGACTGCGCCAAGGTAGGATGCTCAGCCATTCAGGAACGTGCGATGTTCAGCCAATCGCCATTCTCATATGAATGACCGACCAATAAGGAAAGGAAGATGTAGCACAGAATCGATGCCCCTTTGTTTCTTCTCGCGCTGGTTGGAAGTCGAGCCGTGAGAGGTGATTGGAGAGGTGGAAAGCGCCCACCTACGGAACCATGTAGGATCTGAATGCACCGCCCATTTTCTCTTACAGTTACCACGTTGCTGTTGTCACACTGAGCCGCTTGTCAGCCATCTTTAGTGTGGGCTTAAGGAGCTGCGCTGACTCTGAACGCTCAGTCCCTTTCTTCTCCAGTTACCACATTGCTGTTGCCATGCTGAGACGCTTGTCAGCCATCTTTAGTGTGGGCAAATTAAAATTCTGAACAGTTTCTGATACTCTGTAGTCTAGACTTTACCAGGACAGTATCAATAGAAGTTCCCGCAACATTAAATACATTTTATATAAAAAATAATTGTAATAAAATAGAGCAGTCCCTTATTTGTAGGCATAGTCCTCCTTTCTAGTTTAGGGCTAATCTTATATTGTTCTTTATGTTGTATTATGAGATGTACATGATTCATAGTTAACATTCTTGAAAAGAAAAAGGTTGTGAGGACCTCAATTGCAAAAAAATAAAAATGGTGTTGCACTTGAAGTGCCACTTTTGATGTTTTGTGGGTGTGGGATTAGGGTTGCCACCTGTCCAGGATTCACCTGGACAGTCCGGGTTTTGAATCCTGTGTCTGGGTTTCATGGCAACAGAAACCCAGAACAAGACAGGGGCAACCAAAATTAAGATAGGAGCTACTGGCCCCCCTCTGAAAATAGTCTCGACTGTGATATTTACATATATGAATGGGTGGCGCTATTTACATATCAATAAGCCATGGCTCATTCTTCCCAAAAAATGTTCGCGTGTTGCTAGACTGTTCAGGTTTCGCTTGAAGAAAAGGTGGCAACCCTAGTGGTTCTACTTGCAAAATGGAGGGACAGTCCTGCTGAAAGTGCTCAATTACTAACTAAGAATGATTGGGTACATATTTTAAATATTGGTATAAAAAGGATTATTATTTATGTCACCCATAACAACTGCTCATATTGGGTTGCCACCTTTTGGTTTATGGAAAACAAAACGGGTAGTTTTGGGGAGGAAGAAGTTGGCCTTGTCACCACAGCAAAGTATAGGTGGGCATTGTCCCATTTATCAAAACTGGAGCCGACAGAATCTGGCACAGTTGCCCATAGCAACCCATCAGCTCCTCTCTTTTGTTTGTTCAGTTAAGCTTTGAAAATGAAAGAGAGAAACTGATGGGTTGTGATGGCCAGCTGCTTTAGATTCAGTCAGCTCCAGTTTTGATAAATTCCCACCATTGTAGCAATATATTGTAATACGTAGCAATATATTAATGAATAAATCCTCCTAGAAGTGGCGTTCCCAGGCCGGGTGTCACCCGCTGAGAAGTCATTACGCATGCATGCAACATCATCATGCACGGGTGTAATGATGTCACGTGCACTTAGCTGCCGGCAGCTGTCTCAGTGATGGATGTCGGCATAGAGAGGAGGGGACTTTCATGTGGCCAGCGGGATGAGGTACGCCGCCGGGTCCCCTCATCTCTTGTGCAGCTGTCGGGCACTCAGTCCATAACCGAGTGCCTGAGTCTTCAGAGAGAGTGACACCAAAATCACTGTCAGCAGGGGCGTCCAGAGGCTGGGTGACACCCGGAGCGGTAACCGAGTGTCACCCCGCCGAGACGTCACTGTGCATGCGCGGTATTCAGTATTCTGATACCTGCCGGCGGCCATCTTGGTGATGGACGCCGGCAGAGAGAGGAGGGGACAGTCACCCGGCGGGATAAGGTATGCCGCCGCGTCCCCTCCTGTATCCTGATACTGTCGGGCATTCGGTCCATGACCGAGCGCCCGACTTTTCAGAGGGGGGTGACACCAAAATGACTTTGAGTCATTTTGGTGTCACCCCTCCAATGGTGTCACCCTGGTGTGGGCCGCACCCCCCTTGTGACGCCACTGACTGTCAGTCATTGTGGTGCACCCTGTGCAGGCCACCCCCCCCCATCCTCCCCTTGTGACACCACTGCCCACCTGGAGGTTTATTTACATGTATCAATTCTATCTGCTGTGTGACAGAACTGACACATGTCCCCCTGACTATCGTTCCTGCTGCTGCAGTGAACAATGTTGAAGAGTCTGCCAATGAATGCTTTCATCTTCATAATCCGCACACAGGTTTGCATTGCAGGAGCTCCTGAAACACACAGAACCGGACAAACTAACAGCCATGTCCTGCAATGACACCGCTCAGAGCCAGAGTCTGATTTGCCCACACCGGACACTCTGATTGGCTACTAAAGAAGCAGACCACAATAATAAAAAAACAGAATGGTGACAACACCCTACCTTTAAATGAAGAGCCTCCAGCGCGATCCATTCCATTAGGTCCAAAATACTCTGCTGCTGATCTCCTCCCTTCCTGTCCGATTGCACTCACCTGAGCTTAGTCAGTGGCCACTTGTGAAAGGTGTGCGGATATGTCAGATGAGTGCAATCAGAAAGGTACGTACTGTATGTGATCAAGAAGAAGCAGAGGGGGAGGTATAGCAGGCAAAAAAAAAAATCCCAGATTGCAAAGTATATGCACACATTTTTGTTGTGTACATGCGCACACTCTTCCCTGCAGCAGCATGGGCAGCCAACTGACGCAGACTTTAAATCCATACGCACAATGAAAAAGTGGTCAGGGGGCAGGTCTTACCCCGTCACAGTGCAATGTTGAAGCAGCTGAGGGAGGAATTGATGAATTAAGCTAGACTCGTAGATAATAATCTGTCCCATTGCTCCTGTTCAGCATTGTCTTGCTGTGCATCAGAATGGTTGCACGTGCCCCCAGATTGTTTTGTTGCTGGAGTGGGCCACGTTGAAGGGTCTGCAAATGGATGCTTTCTTATTCATAGGCCACAGACCTGTTGGATAATGCGGTTGCTCTGTGCTATACAGTGTGCACCGTTGCCTATGGAGTAGAGATGTTCACTCAGAAAAGTGAATGGTTACTTTGCAGAGTAAATGTTCATTCGGCTTAGTTAATAAGATGAAGCGGTGTATAGTTCCATGATGTCATATCAAAAGCCCTGTGTGTTTTTCTAATTACTTTTGCATACAGTTGGGTGTTCATGTAAACGCAGGTTCACTTTATTTACAGCACAGTGGCTTGGTGGTTAGCACTTCTGCCTTGTAGTACTGGGGGTCCCCGGTTCATATCCCGGCCAGGACACTCTCTGAAGGAGTTTGCATGCTCGCTCTCACTGTGCTTGTATGGGTCCCCCCCCCACACGCCAAAGACATGCTGGAAAGGTTAATTGGCTCCTGTCTAAATTGGTCCTGCATGCATGTGAAATGCCTGTAATCTCCTTGGGGCACCCAGTCCAGTCCATGACTACCAATTCTCTTCCCTTTGTCCCTTTGCAGTAAACCTGTATTTTGAGAGCAAAGCAACAGGTTCACTTTAAGGCCTTGTTCACACCCAAGGCAGAGCAGATCTGCATGAGTTTCTGCACACGCAGTGCAGTGGGCTGTGCCGCGTTTTTGATGCGTTCCTTGGTAGTTTAAAATGGGCTTTCAGTGCGTTCCAGGGTGTTTGCATGCGTTCCAGAGAAGGTAGAATAGGGCCTGCTGCAGTTTTTTTACCTGCTCTGGAACAGAACGCTGCGATGTGAACTGGAGCTAAAAATAACATTGGAATACATTGGACGCAGTTTTGCTCCGGCCTGTAACTGCTCTGCTCCTGGAACGCGCTTGGTGTGAACAAGGCCTAAAGCCGCCCCAACAGCTGATTTTATATTCACCTTTCCTTTTTGCTCCCTACCTGGAAAGCAAACAAATAGGCTTTTGTGTGATCCCTTGCCTAATGCCACAGTGTGCTCTGTGGGTCTGTAGCACAAGCTGGCAATGGCTCTGTAGCATAAAGGGGGTGCTTTTGGCATTACTGGGTGCTCTGTGTGGCATGGGGATGGTACTGTGTCACCACAGCCCTTTCAGCAAGCCAACGTATTGACTGTTTCACACCCGAATCCTGAAAAACGAAATAACACAAATCCGAATTTAAAACGAAACAAATTTTTGGGCAGTGCACATGTCTAGTAAACAATCTAGGATAACATAGCTGATTTGGAAAACTTCTCCAGTTCAGCGATGTTGTCCTAGACCAGTGATGGCGAACGTTTTTGAACCTGAGTGCCCAAACTGCGACG